ATGGCACGCTTCACACTTTGCATTGTTAGTGAACTTCAATGTTACGTTCTGTCAGTTATGCATGGATTTTTTATTTTATTTTACTACTCGTGAGGGTTTTGGACCAGATTCGATTTTTAAATGCCAAAATGTGTGTCACAGATACTTCCTAAAATATTTAAAATAAGAACCTTTCCTGACGTTGACTAGAAAGAGCGCGGTATCGAGACACGAACAATAAAAGACATTGCCAATGTTAGGACAGACAGGCTTCCATTCATATCATATTCACATCTCCCCCCAGATCTTTTTGGTGTCGGCTCTGATGGCGGGCAGAGTGGCAGCGGACACTGGTTACCCAGCTCCTCCCCCCGAATACGCCCCGCACATTCCCATCCTGAAGGACGACAGAACGCAGAACAGCTACGGAGAATATACTTTTGATTTCCAGTCAGGGAATGGGATCGCACGACAAGAGGCTGGCAGTCAGAATGACGGCCAAGTCTCCCAGGGCGGCTGGACGTGAGTGGATCAACGTTCAAATTTTGTTCTTGGAGAATTTCAGTGGGCATGTACAATGAAAGAGAGTGAATTTTGGTGTGTGTGTGTGTGTGTGTGTGTACACTAATACACTGATGCACATTTTGGCTCACTGCATTATTTTGGAAATTGTTCCATGTTTCTGCAGTTTGGCAAAGTAAACTTTTCGCAACTTTTTAGTGTTCTCTCTTTCGTCTGGCGTTCAAAATTATAGTAAACTTTATCTAAGGTCAGTCTTTCTATAACATAGTTGTACAGTATAATCACCTCGCCTCTTTTCCATCTTTCATCCCAAATCGGAAGTCGTATTTTCTGTAGTCTACAGTCGTAGTTCATATAGCTGACATTGTGCCATAAATACCTGACTAAGAGACAATTGCCTTATTTTCAGCTACACATCTCCCGAGGGGGAACAAGTGGACATTTCCTTCGTGGCTGACCATGGAGGATACCAACCCCAGGGGGCAGTACTCCCAGTGGCCCCACCACTCCCCTACACTCGCACGGGACACGGCGTTTAATCATCGTGTAATGATAGTACTACTGCTGTTTTGCCAATACCAGAACGACCCAGTTTCCCCGTTCCCCTACCTACCTCATCCTGGCTCCTCCGCCTAACCTACAAGACATTCCCATCTCATCCCCACCGCCAACCACATATTCTGCACAGCGACGAGGACTCAAGTCAGCTGTTGCTACTTCAGCGTTCCGTATATACGAGATAGTCTCCTTGTCCTCGCTTCGGGAGAGGAATATTTATAAGTATATTTAATGCGCAATAAGATGTCGGTTTGTTCCTTATTATATTTTTTTTACAATTTGTTGTTGTATGTGCCGGACACATTAGTTTTTTTTTTTTTTATAAATTGTATGTAAATAAACATGTTTGCTGATGAAGAAGCATTTTATTTTGCTGATCGCATTAAAAGCAAGATATGCAGTATTACAGCAAAAGGAAGCAAAATATATTTAAACTCCTATATTTAAATCCCTTTGACATGATAATCAGTTCCTACCTTCTAGGTGCCATGGAATAACGGTAGTCGACCATCAGCCAAAATGTTAGGTTCCAATGTACTTTGTATATCGACAACTGACATTTTTCCCAACTCGAAAACTCTGATCGGTATTTTTTCTCGACATTTAATCACAACGAATAGTTTATTGTTTATCGATCTATACTATATGTTTTTGTTTGTTATTTCATTTATGGGTTTTCAACAAGACAGGAATCTTGGAAGATCAAGTTCAAGTTCTACGAAATACAATCGTGTACTGGGTAAAGAATTATTAGTTTCGTCGAGTGTGAATTCTTAACTTGCATATTTCAGTCAAATTCCGTTTAGGTCACAAATGAATTTATTAGAAAGGTTGTCATACTTTTACAATTACGCCTCTATTCTAACGGAATTCAACAAATGGTTTTCTCATGATAATGGTGGTTTGTGATTAACATTCATGATCTTGTTCTCAAATTTCTTAAATTTACTAAAGGTGGTTTTACCAGATTTAAGATACAAGTTCCTCCCTGTATAAATGTATTCTCCTTACGTTGCTTGCCGCACATATTCATATACAAGATAATATATATGAATTGGGAACAGTTCAAGCAGCAGTCAGTTATTTTTTTCCTGTTAGTGTGTAAAAAAAAAGGTGAGGTTTGCTTAGGCTTGACGATACTCCATTTCATTCCAGGATGTATATTTCCTTTGTGGATATGCCAATATACGCGATCTTTCTAGTTATTAATTTGTAATATGCGAGTGTTGATTACTGAATGAGCTAAGTCCGTTGACATTAGGCACTAGTAAATCTATACTAAGCTGTATGGTCGTTTATTTGATTTTAAACTAATGGAATAAACCCAACTTTGCTTCAGATCCATTTTTAGTGTATGTAGAGCTTTTCATAACAATTCAATATTGAGCATGAACGAATCACACAAGCCCTAAGGTTTGCGTGCTTCACTTAGAAAATTCTCTGCAACAGTTTCAGACGAAAAGCTCGAACCATATGGGGGTTAAGATAAACACCTTATATACACATAAAATTGTATTTTATACCAATGATAATAATGACAGCGGGGTGAGTTGGAGCTCACTCCCCCTAACTTTCACTCTTGTCATTCTCGCACCACCACTCATACAGCACTCTGGCCAGAGCAGCTACCCACAACTAACAATACACAGGAAAAAAGAGTGGAGGGAGTTCATCCAAAAAAACAAAAAACTAATAATAATGATATAAGAAAAAAAATAATAAATAAATAAATAGATAACAGTTGTGCAGCAGCATTAAACATCTGACAATTATCAAGGAGGCTGTGTTAATCACCTACAAAATCATGCACAACGTAATTTAAAAAGTCAACAGATAATAAAGGCATTTTTTCCTCACTGCTCTGTGGCTTGGGTCACATGCCACTGTAGCAGAGTAGGTAACGCAATGGGGCACTGACAAATTTGAACTGACTTAACTAGAGAAAACTGACTGGCGTCCGATGATAAAAGCATTTCCATAGTATTTACAAACAATAAACAAAAATAATGATCAATATAATATGAACAGTCTAAGTAACATTTTGTGTAAAAATATCAGACTACTTGTTATCAAGGACTTCTTTTGATTTGTCAGTCTTCAAACAAAACGGTAATATGAGACAGACAGACAGACAGACAGTTGTTGAGCAAAGAGAGAGGAGTAAAACCAGAAGAGCTGTTGAGCAAGAAGAGGAGGGAAGCTGCCACTAGCCCCATGGCAGCCTAAGACCTGTAATCTGTCTACAATATACATATCTTATCTCAAATACTAAAAATGTGATTGCATCTAGTCAACTTGGTTATTGCAGAGTCAATTTGTAATTTTCCATACAAAAGAAGATTTGTAAAAAATAATGACTAATTAGAATTTCCTTTGTTAAATGGACTGAGAATCAACGTTAGCTTTGCCTTTCATGTATCAGAGTCACTTCATTACCTGATGATACACAAGCAAATACTCTTTTGTCTAAAATACTGCATAGAGTCAGAAGTTGTTCAGAAATAAAATAGTACATATAAAATTTCACTGTAAAAACCCTACTCCTTAAAAATGTAAACACAACTGTAAATCTCCACACACTCCATTTTAGTAGACAGGTCGACAGGTAGGCAGGTCAGAAATAACGAGACGCACATAAATAGATTGCTCCACACACACCCTGGCTGGCGTAAGGCTGTCCCAACCTCAGAAGAATGCATAAAAGTGCATTAAGTTTGTCTTCATTCTCAATCCCTTTCGACCCACCTGGGCACCCTTAGGCATGACTCCCATATTATTGTAGGCTGCGTGAATTTGTGTCTTAACCATCACAAAAAAAATGTTGCATTCCTCTAATGTTCCATAGTCACTGCAATGCTTCAACTGATGGACTCCTCGCAAAGTTTTGTCATGCTGCGAGAGACAAAATATGAGGACTGCAGTACCAAGACATTCTGGCGGGGTTCAGTACAACATGTTTACGGCGAGGCGGACAGCAAAGACAGCAATGGCCGAGGGCTCTGGGAAGAGATAGCTGCCTGACTGCCAGACTCTGAGGCCCAGGGACGAGAGAAGCCGATACTTGCCGTTGGAAGGTTTCTGCCATCTTCCCTTGTGGTTATTAACCATTTTTTAAAATACACTCCTTGTACAAATGTTCCATTTGTAAAATACTTTCTTTAAACTATCTACCCTTAGATGCTACTTGATTTTTATGTTTTTTATAGTTAGTCTCAAAATAAACAATAGAATTTACTGCCAGAAATATTTTACACCACAACCCCCTCCATTTGCATGAAGATTGGAGGTGGCTGCATCAGGGGGAAAATACTTAACTTGTATAAACAGTCACGAGGTGTAAAACTTGTGTCTCACTGTACACATAACCTAGAGTCTGTACATGAGAGCAGTGGGGGGAGGGGCGGGGAGGGGAGAGGGAGGGGGCCCCGAAAGCCACTGAGATGCTGTTACCGAGCCTTTACCCCCAAATCTAGGAGTCACCTGACACACTATTTATATACAATTTGGCTTCAGGTGCATGAGGCAACATGTACACAGGTGTACAATCAACATTACTGTACACTACTACTCTGAGAGCCTCTGGGAAACAGCAAGTCAGGGCGTGGAAGAGGCCAAACCCACCCAGCTTGTACAACACCACTGCCTATTTACATTATTGAAATTAACAGCACCAACCTGTGCTGAAACAAGTGTTAATAATAAAAGGCATAAATATCCAATTACGAAGTACATTCAATCTGTTACTCATTATCACAGACAATCCTGCTTGGATACTAGTCACTAACAATGCACTGGTTTACGGCGCCCAGCCCACGATACCAGTGGCCCATATGTATTTATTCTGGCCGTTAACTCACACTTGTGATTCCATTTTACAATCATTGTGAAATGAGCATTTCTTTACACCATGATGCCTTTCTTGTGCTCCTCAAAGTTTATCCACCCATTAATTTCTCTATGGTTGTCCATGTTATCATAAGGCAGGACTGTTTTGATTGCATTGTGGTGGACTTATGGCCATAATAAGTTAAGTATTTACAGTCATCTTTGAGATAATGCTAGTTGTGTGAGGTAAGACCTTTCTTTGAGCATTAGGAATCATTATGCATCTCTTAGACATACAGCCCTATTTCCCAAACACTTTGGTCATTTAGGTATCTGGTAATATTCACAGCTTTTCTGTTTTGGCAGGCCAGGCAGTAACAAGTCCTGCTTTGACCTCTATGTCCACCCAGGCACTGATTATTACTTTCTACTTCCTTATCGCTTGAGTAAAATATGCTTTGGTTAGACACAGGCCGAATACAACAGCCTCAACCTTTCTTCAATGATGTTTCAGTCTTTACACTACAAAATTCACTAAGCTTGGAACTCAATGACATATTGCCCTGGGCAAGAAATACTGCACAAAGGATATTTGTCTTTAGAGATTCTAGTATTTTTTGGTCATTTAGAATCTTTAAACAAATAAGAACTACTACTACATCTAACAGTCAAGCAGAATTTTTGTCAAAGGGCAATTAATTACAATATCATTAAGTTGTTTCAGACAATGCCCATTAATTGCACCAGGGCAGGTCTATTATACCAAGCTTTTTTGTCTATATATTTTTTCTCTTTTCTTTTTTTTTTTTCTTTTTTTTTTTTTTTTTTTGGTGTTTGCAGAAGAGCAGTAGTTACACAAGGGCTGCCATCACATTGTACAGATGAGACAGAACTTGCATGTGTAATGGCAGGCAAGATCTTCTGTCTTGTTTGGCAGGATCCAGGACTAGCCATGAGAGGCCATTGTACCCTTCCAGGACAAATCTGTTGAAACAAGATAAGGGTTTGTTAATTCAGTGTTATACTCTAACTACTGTAGGTCTACCCTGCGGTTTAAAATGTTCATGTCGTTTATTATTACTAACATTTCCTATTAGTGCCATTAATGTCATTAATATCTATTCCGGAGTATCTTGCAACATCATCAATCCTTTTTGCTACTGGTTAAAAATAACTTGCTATTTCCCTAAACTCATTCTGTTGTTTTAAAGAACCACCTTACCAGGAAACCATTCAGGAGAAAAGTAATTGGCTACTTACCTAAGGACATCAGTGGTGATAGAAGAATCCAATGGGTGGACCTTGTTATTTGTAGTGTTCATGATCAAATCTTCAGACTGTGTAATTCCAGGTGAGTGAAGATGGAGGGCTGACTTAAGGAACACTGGGCAGGATGTTTCAAGGTGAGGGCAGGACGACCAGAACCATCTCGGCAGCCGACCCGTGGATGCAGTGGAGACGTAGTAACCAAGAGCCAAGGGCTGTTGTAACACTGAACCGCCAGAATCCTCTTCAGGGTCAACCAGGACTATACCATTGCTACGCGCTTGACCAGAAAACTGTGAGGGACTAGTTCGACCACCAACTCCAGCTGTGGGACTTCCAGGCTGGGACAGGGAGTCTCTTTGTCCACCTCCATCTTCTAACTGGTCATCCTGGTTAGGCCCGGTGTCAAGTCCAAGGATATCCTGGATGTTGAGTCCCATGCTCATGCCAATGTCACTTATACTACCACCTATATCATTTTCTAGATCTTCGTCATCTAATAACAACCCATTACCCTCAAAGTGGAAAGTGGTCTCCTCCTGGAATCTCTGCTGTGCTGACTGTAAAAAAGAAAACACCAGGATGTTAGTATGTGAATATCTCAACTCCATGAAGATGAAATGTTACAAATATTCATGAAAAAAAAAAAAAATCTGGCATTTACATCTATTAGTCACAGTACTCACCTGAGCAGTAGCAGAAGTTGGGAAGACCAGTATATGTGTACAAGTGAGATCTTGTGGAGTTGACAGGCTACAGTTCTGGCTATTCTGTCCAAATCTCTCATCTGGTGTAAACATATCTGGCATCATCCTGAATGATGAATCTGGCTCAATAGCAACCAGACATGCAGATAGGATGCATGGGGCATCTCCAGGGAACAGATATGCACACTGCTTACACATTTCTCTCAGGTTCTTATTAGCCTGTATGAGAGATTTCTTTGACAGGAGGGAAGACCAGCCTTTCAATTCTCCGTGGCCCATTCTACCAAGCCTACCTACGACTAGGCGCCAGGGATGTACACCAATAGACATCACACTAAGTATCCAATCCATCAATTTCTTCAAGCCATAACGACGAGCAGAAGCTTTCTTTCTTCTCGTCCTGTAAGTCAGATCAATAGTCAATAATATGTTCTCCATCAAACCTTAAATTTTCAACCTCATAATAATTCATAATAAAATTACAACTCATTTTTAAACTAACACTAAAATGAAACTAATAATCCAATAAACAACTGATGACTTTAATTCTTACCTATTTGGAATTTCTATATTGATTGTTACAGTCTCTAAAATTTCCCCTAATTCATCAGTGGCTGTTGCTAGGAGCCACCTCTGATCTTCAGACAGGCAGTAGGTGCAGTTCAAGATGGTTGACTTTTCACGTGGAGCTCCGAGAGCCTCCTGTGCCTCCTTATATGTACCACGACTCTCTTTGATGGGGGCAACAATGTATGCAGGGGAGAATATGTGGTAAGGAGCCTGCCTCTTTTCCTCTGCTGCAAGCTATAAGAGAAAAATTGTATGTATGAATATTTATATCAAGCAAAAATATGCTGTGTTTACATATACCTGGGTGTAAGACAGAAAATGTGCAAAATGACAGTAACTTTTTGTTTATCATGAGCTGATAACAGAAAACTTACACTGGCTTCCTTAGGCTTGAGGAAATCATCATAAGCAGCAGCAGGTCCAAAACCTGTTAGGGACTTGACTGTTGCATTATGAGTCAAAGTTCTTCTGCACTGCATGAACACTGAGAAGGCCAGACTCTTGAGCTGGTCTATGTGGTGGGACCGGTCATGTGAGTCACTGGCCAACTCCAGTATACTCTCCAATGAGACAATCTGACAAATGGAAAAGATAAATTATTATCTTTATTAAATTTTTAGTAAATTTTGGAATGCTTGATCAAACTCCTGTTTTCCTATATACCACAAAGTACTTAGATTACACATACTTGTTTGATTCTCATGCGAGTTACATAATCAAAATCAACTTTATTATGAACACTATATACCATGTTGCATACATTAAATCTATTCTGAAGAATTAATCATAAATAACTCACCTGGAGATACACATTATTCTGCATGCTCTCAGTCAACCCCTCCAGCATGTGTTCATAGCAGCGGAGCAACCCTAAGGTGACCAAGCGGTGCATGTCAGGGTGGTCTTGCCCAACATTGAAGGGGTCCACCAAGTAGACAAGAATGGCTGGAGGAGGGGAGTCGTCTTCCTCTACTTCATTTAGGCTTGCACCCAGAGGGATGTTACCTGGCTGCTAAGATAAATATCTCGTGTAAATTTCAAACACTCAATAAAAACTTGATCCACTGCTGACGGGGATGGTATGTACATGAATGACACGTCTACTAATTATCAATTGCATTTACACATGGATGGCTCCTGTCACTCTTATCACTCCTGTTTACCCTATTCTTGATATCCAGAAATATAATATTTTAATCTTTTATAGCTATTAGTACTGTCAACTTTATAATAACTATCACGTCAATAATAATATGTGTATCAATATCAATAGCTTTGTGTTTTTTGAACACTATGGGAAAGGGGAAATCAGGTGAGGTCACACAGGCCTACTTATTGACTCCTTAGTGGCTGACCCATGTGGAGCCATCAATGTGTAAAGACAATTCACAAAACAAAACTACAGTGGACATCAAATGTTCCTGGTGGCAAGGTATTGATATCAACAATCTAATCAATAATCTTCCCTATTTGTTGGAAATGGCAATATTTGTGGTACTTTCTGAACACAAAAGCTAACTTACTGTGCCAGAGGTAGAAGTTGCAGAAGATGATGAGGTGGATGTGGAGGAGGAGGACGATGAAGACGAAGACGAAGATGAAGATGAGGAAGAGGAGGAGAAGGACTCCGGCTCTGAGTTTGATGTGGGTGTTGTTGAGGGGTTGGTGCTCCCCATGTTTTCTGATGATGGAGGAGGCATTGGTGATGGAGCTTGCCTCTCTGCAGGTCTGTTGGGTCCTGGTGCTTCAAAGAGACTCTTGTCCATGCTAAGCATTGCTAGGTGTGGGGCCAACCAGTACCGACAAACCTGGAGGGAGAAAAAATATGACATTTAGAGGAAGGACAAACAATTTAAAATAATCACTTTAGTAAAGGAATCAAGTCTGAAAGAGTGATTACTTGAAACAATCGTCCACACATGCTCAACTCACCTGTGCGTAAACTTTGAGGTTGGTGGACACATGGGAGTCACCCAAGAGGGAGAACCATTCCTCCAATGGCTCATTTGCTACTTTGGATGCTGCAGTTTTGCTTATCCTCATTATGCCATTTCTCAGGACTCGTTGTATAGGGGCATGACGACCAAGCTTGCACAACTACAACAGCAAAAGTCTTTTGTTAGGGACAAAATTATACAAACAAAATGAGGTAACACTAGGAACTGATTTATCACAAGAAATGTTCTACATAAAAAGACTAGTCATTGAATATTTGATGAATCCTTTTGTTTTCATGGCTTTTCTAAAACAAGTTATAAATTTACACGTCAAAAGAATTATTCCCAAATGCCCATAAAATTTCAACAAAAGATCTAAGTTTAATAATATGTAACTAAAGGCAGTAATATGACAAAATACAGCTTACTCCAGAATTAAAGTATATATGCATATTCTTTAATAAAGTTAACATTATGACCAAAAGACCCTAGTAAACAAACAATAAATTCTGACAAATTTGTGTACAAACTGTCTCTCTATTGAGAGACTGGGCAAGGCCAAAATTTTGCAATATAACATTCCATGTAATCAATTAAAAGCCTAAAATAAAGAAAATGCCAAACTCTCATTAAAAAAGTATATACCAAGATGTAATAAAATATATAGATATTCATACATCTGATTTATAAACTAGTTATACTGTGAATGTGAACTGATATGAACTCATTGCTATCTTACTGTACACTCTAATCAACTTTGTATGTTTTAAATGAACAGTAAAACAGGTTATGCCAAGTACAGATACAAAGCAGAAACTCTTGCACAGATAGTGAATAATGATCAATAATCAGCTAATCCTTGTTAAGAACAAACAAACAAAAAAATGCTTCTGTTGTAAAATGAAGTACAGAGTGAACCTGACCAATATATTTTTACAAAAGTTGATCCATCCTCTTTGCTCTTTTTTAAAATTCCAAATAATTTTGAAGTCATTCAACTACTACAATTTACCTTTAACCTACACAACTGCTCATCTCTAATAATTCTAAACCATTCTATCTCATACTCCTTGCAATAAAAACACAACAACACAACTCATTTCCTATTTGTGTGCCTGTACTAAGACACAATTAATAATGTTTTACAAATTAGTGTAAAAAATCATAAAAAAATTATTACACCATTCACCTTTTTAAAACCTTACATAAACACTCTGACAGTACTGTATGTCTGCAAAAAAGCAATAGCTTGTGAATGAATAAACACTTTTCAACAATGTTTAGAAAATTTGTATTTTCATGCTGCACAAGTGCCACTCCCTGCATTAGCATTTTCAATATAATCTTGCAAGCTCATAAAAAGTATTTGCTATAACTGACACATTCCCTTTTGTCTTGTTTTCTCTACCTATACTCTAGTTTTAACTTAAAAAAATAGTGCCTTAGCATCTCTTTTGCCTCCTGCTTATTATACTATGCCTTTCCAGTTCCTGTTATAGGTTGGTATATTTGAATTTGTACACAACCAACATATAAAAACACGAAACATAAAACTTACCTCATATATAGATGACAACTCCTTGAAGAATGTGCGCACGTGATTGAGTATAAATTCATTATCAGGAGCAACCACAACATATGCCACATTCCTCTGCTGAGAGTATGGTTCAAGAAGTAATTTTTCCCAGTGTCTAAGGGATTGTGGTGCTATGGACAACCAGTCTCGGTCATGGCCTGTCAATAACATAGGAATAGGCAATGGTTCAGCAATATCCTCATTGCCTCTAACAGCCTTACGGTGGAACTGGCGCCACGTGAGGGGCCCTTCAACACTAAATAAGTTCACCCATCTTCCCTTCTTTTGTATGGCCTCTTGTAGGTGAGGCTGGAGGGCCTTCATACAACGCACTATGTCCCTAGAACATGTGGGACCATCGAACTGGTAGTAGCACCACTTATGCATGCACTGATGTCTTGTTGAAGAGGAGTTCACTTCACCTTCACCCACATTAACACCTCGTGACTGTTCTACAGCCAAGCTTGCAATCTCATTACCATCTTTATAATCCACTAAGTTCAGCATAATGTCTCGTCTATTATTTTGGTACACTGTTGTTGATCTATAAATGACACTAGAGGGAGTACTTAAAGTTACTAAGCACTGGCTTTGTAACAGCTGGTACATAGACTGAGGTATCTGATCTAGAATACTGGTATCACGTTCAGGATTGTCTGCATTCTTATTGTCCATCAGCATGAGTAAAGACTGCTTTTTACGCTCATTGACCAAAGCCTCATGGAGGCCAGTAAGATCCACTTCATCTTCATAAAATAATCCAGCCTGAAAGGCCAACCTTCTATTAACTACTGCAGAGAAACCACAACTGCAACTTGCACTTTCTTCTTCTAAACTAAGATGGGTAGGTGGTAAATATAGAGCTCCATCCTTTCCACGGATATTTCCAACAATTTTCTGGTTGTTATTGCAGACACACATTGTGCACGAATCAAAGTTGTGATCTCTGAACAAGTTGACGCTCGAGTCCTGCAGAGCGATGTTAACAATAAGGGAATTTGCTTCAGGTACTTGGCTAAGCCCATGCTTGGTGGCTCTACTGATGGCAGTGTCTTGTTGAGGTAAGGATGACTGGTTGGATGCAGGGGATGGTAGCTCATAATTCATGGGTGGTCCTGCAGAAGCTGGGCCTCCCACACTGCCTGGCCCACCGCTGAGACCCTGGGCCACTGTCTGACACTTGGCCCACCCAAACTTGAAGTTATGGGTGAGATGGGAGACAAGCCCACCTTCTGTGTTTGTCCAGTTGATGGAGGACCTCCATGGAGAGGACCCATGTGGCCCAATGTAGGAGCTGGTCCGTGGGCTTCTCAGCAACTGGGAACTGCCATGAAGGTTTGTAAGCCCAATCAGGAGGAAGTGTCACAATTGTTTTATACTCCTGACTTGGTAGGTTAGTTAGTGGAGCATACTTGCGGGAGCCAACAAACATTGAAAGAGTGGGAGGCCGATAAACAGCCAACATTTCTTTCGGTTCGTCTTTAGCGGGCAGGTTTGCTGCTCCTGTGAATGAAGTGGTCTAAGATCATCCACTCGCTCCTGTTTGATGCTAATGACCTGTGGCACAGCATCCTCCATGGTGGTGTCATGGTCTGGGTTATGCCTCATGGGAGGGAGGTGTTGGAAACATTTTGTCAACTCCACTAAGCTTGTGTTAACACTGGTCTTGTTACCACTAGCATTGTTCTTGTTGTTCAAAACTGCAGCTGTATCCTCAGGACCTCCCAGGGGTTTGTTAGAACCAGGTGGAGTATGGTCAGGGAATGCGACCTGGGAACATAAAAGTTATTCTCAAAATAATAATACTTCAATCATTCTATAGGAAGAGCCTTGTTATTGTAAAATTCAATATCAATGCCATTTAAGTGAAAAATATCTAAAAAATCAAAAGAAAGCAAAGCCTATACTCACATCGTCCACTGGAGAATCAGAATCAAACATGACATCCAAATCTGATAGTGAGGCTTGAAGCCCTTCACTTGTATAAAGATTTCCAGTTTCTCTTTGGTTGCAGCGGGGACTGAGGATCATGGGAAGAACGGACACTCCCAGGGGTCTTGGTCTCCTCCTTATCAAAGCCATCTTTCCGTTGAATGTTTCTTGGGGTAGTGCCCGTGCCTATGTCATCATCGAAGTCATATGGGTCAGCCTGTCTCTTTATGCCACCAGGACGCTTTGCAGGTAACCCATTCACTTCAGGAATCTGCAAGAGCAATTTGGTTAACTCTTCACTTTCCTTGACCCTACAATGACGGTACCAGAAATCCCCTGGATGTCACTCTGGTGACTTCTGGCAACCATCCAGCCATTTTGCCAAGGAGTCCGCTACGTGTAGTGGAACTTCCCACTCGACTCACTCTAGTGAGTCATGACGCCTATAGTCGTACCCATGAGTGTTTTTTCATGAGAGCTATAGCATGCTTGGCTGTAAGAAGTTAAATGCATTACCCTTGTCTCTATAAAGCTACATTTCAGGGTAAATGAGAAGAAAAATATGAGGGGGGAAAAAAAAAAAAAAAAAAAAAAAAAAAAAAAAAAAAAAAAAAAAAAAGAAAGAAAAAAAAGATGCTAACTAATTAATGACATTTCTAGCCAGTACCAAACACCAATTTCATAGGCTATGTTGTAAATTTTGGGTCATATTACCTCTTGGCTTGGTTCTGCACGATGGATGACTTCCATGTGTTCTTGGATATGTGCAGGTCTATATGGTGGGCCACAGAGGTTCCTCTGCTTTGGGTTCAGCTGGTTTAAATTTCTTCACTGGATGATGCAACCTGAAATATAGAAATATGACAAAATGTTGAATATGAAAACATTGGAAGTTCATCAGTCCAATGACTATGCAACTTTTACCCCACTAGGTAAGTATCGGCTGTTTGAGAGTTACTGGTTAATAGAATTTCAAATAAGCAACAACGTGGCATACCACTAGGTACCTTATGCCAGTACTAACCAATGCATTTAATTTGGAGTAGTCATAGAGGACGGTACTAGGTTTTTCCAATTCTAGTTATAGAATGGTTAGTCTGTGCCTGGCAGGGATGGCCGCTTTAGTCCCCTAGGCAGACTGCTGCTATTACTTCCCCCACCTCCCAGGCTACTGCTGGTCTCATTGACTCCACACCATTGCCTCTCTCACTTCCAGGATAAGGAGACATGCCCTGTTGAGAGAACACATGATTAAAAAAATCAAGGTCTCCAAAATATAATTGAAAACCAACAGAAAAAAGATTCATCATAAGGTTTAAAAAGTTCACACCTCTTAAAACACTCCACAAGCAACAAGACTTCATGTGTTTACCTGATTGTTGAGAGATGATATGGACTTGGGGCCCATCAAATCCGTCCATATTTTTGGTTTTCACATCCAATGAATCAAGAGCAGCAGGGTTTGTTGGATCACACCCAACTGATGTTTGATGGGGGTGTATGGGGACTCAAGTTGGCATGGTGGGATCTGCAAAGGAGTAGAGAAATACATTTAAAAATCATTTTTGAAGTAAAAAAAAAAATCCCTGTACGACACAAGTTCCTAACATGCTACTTTGAGATTTAGTTGGGACTGTGGGATACATACCATGAATGGGCACAGAGCTGGTCTGAGGTGTGGGAGTGGAGATTGAAGGGCATAAGCGTAGATTCTACAGATGAGAGGGCATCCGCAAATCCAGTCAGCCGGAGACTGGGTACACTACCTGGGGTTGTCACGCCACCCCGGCTCTTGTACCCTCCAAACTCCCAGCTCCATTGCCTCCACTAGGTGTTGCGCACCACCCAGTCTGGTGAGAGAGACATACAAGGTGTAAAGCATTTTAAAGATATAATGTATGGTACAAAACAGCTCCACCCAATTTGAGTTTATTGTAATGCATCTGACAGAATATATTACATGGCAATACTATCTACATGTCCATCACTGTTCTCAAATCGCTATATTACTGGTAAGTAAAGGAATTTAAATTTAACTAAATCAAAGACAAGCTACATACAAAACAGAAACTGAAAGAAACTGAACTAAGACTACAGCTGAAACTTTTATACATCAATTTAAAATGTCAAAGGCACCAAAGAAACATTTAAAAAGGTTCTAAAATCTTACACCTAAAAAATGAGAGCTCATGCAATGATATAAAATATTATGGGTCCCCATACCATATTACTCTAACACACAAAAGTAATCAACTTTTCTTGGTGCTGTCATATAAACCTGTTGATACGATTTTTCTTTTTTTTTAATAATTTATTTCTTTTTCTTTTTTAAATCTAGTACAATTTTCTTTCGTATGTTACTAACAGTCCAAATAATCATATTACCACGCATTACACTCTTAGTTTCTCCAGCCACTTGTCATAAAACAGCTGAGGAGTACAGTTAGCTATCTTCCATTTGTTATCTGCTAAACCCTAAAGTCTTGAAGCTCCCAAATTAAAGACAGTTCAATAAACAAACTTCAACAATCTGGTGTCAGAGCGGAACCTGTCTGTCCTTTTACATTTGTTACCCATCTAAATGAACCACTTTGTAAAAATCTAATGTATGCTTGCAAAGAAATATGTATGAAACAAATACAATCAAATTTATCAAGCAAATACTTACTGCAGCCAGGAGGTGTTTATTCATTGACGATATAAGGCAGTAGGCCTCCTGGCACTTGATGGTATTTGATCAAATTTCAAAAATCCTTTTTTTTTTTTTGCTTTTTCTTTTTTTCTTTTTAATCAATAATTTAAAAAAAATCTATTTATCTATTATTATCTTTTGAGTGCTACAAAGTTGCCAAATCTGGTCACATTTTGAACTAAGTTTGACTAGAAAATAGCAACACATTTTCTTTTTGTAATATCTGTTGGAAAAATTATGTGTAAAGTGACCTGTGCTTCTGCCAGTGCACTTTAACATTTACTGTCACAGTGTAAAAAAAGAAAAAAAGGCTACCCTAAATTTGATGAATGTTCAAGCCAATGATAAGTGCAATAAACATGGTACAAGTATTGAATCTGTGATTAAGATTGTTTGCTGACGTTTGACCCTATACACTTGTCAAGCAATAGTAACTATTAAGATTACTATAATTTTTCATCATCGTCACCATTGTTTTCTCTCTTTTTTGATGTAGACAAAAGAAAATGAAAGAATATGGTTTTACTTCTTAGAGGGTTTCCAATGGTGAAACGAGTACAAATCTAATGGGGCAGATGATCTATTATCAATTTTGTGGTGTGGTGTGTGTGTGTGTGTGTGTGTGTGTGTGTTTGTGTTGTGTTGTGTGTGTGTGTGTGTGTGTGTGTGTGTGTATGCTTGTGTGTGTGTGTGCTTGTGTGTGTGTATATTCTTGTGTGTTGTGTATATGCTTGTGTTTGTGTATATGCTTGTGTGCGTGTGCTGTGTGTGAGGTGCTTGTGCGTGTGGTGTATTTATATATATATTAATATATTATATAATATATATATTATACAATATATATAGTTAATACAATATATATATTATACAATATATATATTATACAATTATATATTATACATAGATTATTATTCAATTATTTATATTATACAAATATACAAATGCACATCCATATACAATTTTTTTTTTCTGGGCCAAGATTGATAAAAATATCATCAAAATAATGTGGACAATCTGTTTATTTGGAGGCGAGTGTCAACAAATATAACAAAATAGGGTAAAAAATAAAATGAATAAAATATAAAATCAAAATAAAATCAAGAGTACTATAGAGTTCTGCCTCAAAACTTGAAAGGTGTACAGTGTTCAATTCGCTTAGTGACTGTGTGGTGATTGGTGTGTGGTTGGTGGTACAGAGTTAGCAGTGGGACCTTGGCAACGGCCTGCATTAGTCCCGACTCCTCGATGGTCGTCACGCCACACTGGTCCAGGCCACTTCGTCGGGTGAGGGTAGTGGGGCTGGGGGAGACCTTGTGGAAGGGATGCACCAGAGTTGGAGTTGCTGCTGCTGCCGCCGCCCCCCCTCTGGCGCCCCTCCTCCCCCACCGCGCCTCTCCCCGTCGTCCTACTGCTTGCTACACCTTTACTACTGACCCGACCCTTCTCACCTGCAACGGCAGTTCCAAAACACTCAAACAAGCACCTGGGACCAATGGTTGGAAGATCAAGCATCAGCAGCTCTCTCTTGTACCATACACAGCAAGATCATAACACTTGTTCAATGTACACTACTGCATTAAAAATTGCAATAAATAATGGCCACTGTAATCTCAATGTCCAGATACACAAAAATAATTATAGTAATAACAAAAAAATAATAAAAATAAATAAAAAATAAAAAAATCAAGTATGAATATATATTACTAAAAAACAACAAAACAAAAAAACTGAGGATGTCAATAACCTAAATGTCCCTTTTTCACTGCAAAGACTGATCCCCTTTGTCTTGTAATTTGCCTGTCATTATCACAAAGTTTAAAATACTATGAATTACCTAAGTGGCATATTTACCCCCCACGGTTTATGTAGTAGAAATGAACTGATACCAGGGAAATAGTCAAGAAAATAATTAAGAATTGCGAGACAGTAATTTTCATTAACAAATTCCTGCATGCCACCCTGCTCCTAAAGCAAAAAGGAAGGAAAAGGGATAAGGCTGGCAAAATGTGTATTTTGCCGATTTGTTGACACTGTTCCCTTACCATGGCTTAACCCTAAACAAATCAATATATCGCAAAAATATATGTCGAGCCATGGTTCTACACCCCTGATTTGGCCACTATTCTTATTTTAAGAGGTCTAAAGGAATCCACAGATGTTTATCTGCCTAAAATGAATACATTTTTCTATGTCTGAAAAATTTAATCATAAAATAATTATAAAAATGTATAATTGTGCTGTTTGTTTGTCACCTCATCTTACTCTCACATATACCCTTTACCATTGCAGAATTTCACGGCCTTTTTTTTTTTCTTTTATCCACTAACATATTCATAACCACTACGCTACAAAGAATATTCTAAATAGAAACAAAGTTAATGCAACTTTAAGTATCGTATATCTTTTTCCCACATTATCAACTCTCAATTTGCACTGTACTGCTGCATAGTATGAAGTCTATAAACAACAACACATAAAATCAGGCATCAGACTAACATCCTGCATTACTTCCCATGCGTCATGCAGATAAGAAGTGTGATCATTCATCTAAATGAATTTGAAAGTGTCATAAATATCAGAAAATACATGTAACTTTACATCTAAGTCCATGCAATAAGATTCCTAATAATCAAAGACATATATTTGCATTTCCATATAATAAAAATTCAAATGAAAGTATTAATATGAAAATAATTATTTTAAGGATCAATAAAAATAAAAAAAGTATAGTAATTTATACGTATTAAGCAAGTTTCAAAATAATTTGCTGAGTTACCTAACTTTCAATCAGACTCAAAACTGAACAACCAAGAACATTTTACAACAAAGACAAACATACTTGTCCGTAGCAGCTGATCTTCGTTGCAGGTCAGAGAAGTCCCACTGTCCAGCATTTCAGAAGGGTTCAAGTCCCCTCTGGTTGTCAGTCCTTCGCTCTGTCCGGGGGCTGCTGGCTCATGGACCTGGACTATGTCTTG